GGGCGGCTCCGGGCTCGGGACCATGGCGCTGCGCGCCCGGGCACTCTACGACTTCAGGTCGGAGAACCCCGGCGAGATTTCTCTGCGGGAGCACGAGGTGTTGAGCCTGTGCAGCGAGCAGGACATCGAGGGCTGGCTCGAAGGGATCAACAGCCGCGGCGATCGCGGCCTCTTCCCGGCCTCGTACGTGCAGGTGATCCGCACGCCCGAGCCCGGCCCTCCGGCCGACGGCGGCCCCGGAGTCCCGGCCCGCTACGCCAACGTGCCGCCCGGTGGCTTCGAGCCTCTGCCCGCCGCTCCGCCCGCCGCCTTCCAGCCGCTGCTGCAGCCGCAGGCGCCGCCGAGTTCCTTCCAGCCGTCGGGCGCCGGCTTCCCGTACGGCGGGGGCGCCCTGCAGCCGTCGCCGCAGCAGCTGTACGGCGGCTACCAGGCCAGCCAGGGCAGCGACGATGACTGGGACGACGAGTGGGACGATAGCTCCACGGTGGCCGACGAGCCGGGCGCGCTGGGCAGCGGCGCCTACCCCGACCTCGACGGCTCGTCCTCGGCTGGCGGCGGCGGCGGCGGCGCGCCTGGTCGCTACCGCCTGTCCACACGCTCCGATCTGTCGCTGGGCTCACGGGGTGGCTCGGCGCCGCCGCCGCATCAAGCGTCCGGAGCCAAGAGCTCGGCCACGGTGAGCCGCAACCTCAATCGCTTCTCCACCTTCGTCAAGTCGGGCGGGGAGGCCTTCGTGCTGGGCGAGGCGTCGGGCTTCGTGAAGGACGGGGACAAGCTGTGCGTGGTGCTGGGGCCCTACGGCCCCGAGTGGCAGGAGAACCCCTACCCTTTCCAGTGCACCATCGACGACCCCACCAAGCAGACCAAGTTCAAGGGCATGAAGAGCTACATCTCTTACAAGCTGGTGCCCACGCACACCCAGGTGCCCGTGCACAGGCGCTATAAGCATTTCGACTGGCTGTACGCGCGCCTGGCCGAGAAGTTCCCCGTCATCTCGGTGCCCCACCTGCCTGAGAAGCAGGCAACCGGGCGCTTCGAGGAGGACTTCATCTCCAAGCGCAGGAAGGGCCTGATCTGGTGGATGAATCACATGGCCAGCCACCCAGTGCTGGCGCAGTGCGACGTCTTCCAGCATTTCCTGACCTGCCCCAGCAGCACGGACGAGAAGGCCTGGAAACAGGGTAAGCGAAAGGCTGAGAAGGATGAGATGGTGGGCGCTAACTTCTTCCTCACTCTGAGCACACCCCCTGCCGCCGCCCTGGACCTGCAGGAGGTGGAGAGCAAGATCGATGGCTTCAAGTGCTTCACCAAGAAGATGGACGACAGCGCGCTGCAGCTCAACCACACTGCCAACGAGTTTGCGCGCAAGCAGGTGACCGGCTTCAAGAAGGAGTATCAGAAGGTGGGCCAGTCCTTCCGAGGCCTCAGCCAAGCCTTTGAGCTGGATCAGCAGGCCTTCTCGGTGGGTCTGAACCAGGCCATCGCCTTCACCGGAGATGCCTACGACGCCATAGGCGAACTCTTCGCCGAGCAGCCCAGGCAGGACCTGGACCCAGTCATGGACCTGTTAGCACTGTATCAGGGGCACCTGGCCAACTTCCCAGACATCATCCATGTGCAGAAAGGTAAAGCCTGACCTGTAGAGCTGGTGGCATGGGATGTTTTGTTCAGGCTGAAAGCAATGACTTTGATAGGCGTCCCCCTCTCTGGGTTCCGGTTCTGGTTCATTCTCCATGTCTGGGGACCCTTAGGGCTCTGGACTGTTGGGACTTCCTTAGAGAGTTTTCAGTGGATTGCTCGATTTGCTCCTTCTAGTCAGAGAGGGTGCTCAATGTGTTGTTGTCATTTCAGAATTTGAGTGGGCAGGGAAATCAGCTGCTCTGGTCTATATAATCGTGTGGACGGGGCCAGAATTAGCATGGGGACCTAAACCAGGCTAGGCATCCCTTTGAGCACCGCAGTGCTGGCAGAGATAGGAGAATAGGAATCATGGATGCCTGGGAATAAAGGTAAGTCAGGCTTTCCACTCAGTTCCTGCTGTGGCTTGGGGGGTTTGGCCAACCAACCCTGTTCACAAAGCTGGGGCAGCCCAGGGACTTCCTGTGTCAGCTTCTTATGAAATGCCCCAAGAGGCTCTCTACCTTCAGGAACCCAGCTCTCTCCTTGAGTTCGGAATTTCTTAACCAGCTGACGTTTGGGCTGTTCTTTAGGATGCAGGGAGGCTAGGAGTATCACGTCTGAGAGCAGTGAGTTAGCCGCTCCAGTGCCAGAGTGTGCTGCTTTTAGTAGTTGGTGGTGGTACCGGCTTTTATGAAAACACCGACTCTGCAAATCCTTTTTTGTAGACTGCAGCAGCCATGCCTGCCTGACCTGAGGTTCCTCGCCAGCCGGCCCTCCCATATAATGGCTCTATTGATGGAGAGAGATGGGGAGGTGTTGCTGTTAGGAATGTGGCCTTGCCTCTGGAGGTCCACTGTGGGGGAGGTGGCAAGCAGGCAGGCAGTCACCTCCTGTAGCATCCTGGGCTGGTGGAAGGCTGCATGGACAGCCACGTTTGGCCTCGGGTGGGGGTGACCTGTTCACTTCCCTGCCGTGGGGGCGTGGGGGAACAGAGCATTTGGGAACATCCCTGATCTTTGACTTGTTCTTTCTTGGGTTCAACTCAGTTCTTCTTTCTGGTTCGCTGGAAGCAAACAGAACAAATCTGTTCCCCATCATGTCAGGCCCTTAGACATTTGGGGACATCAGTCTCTTTGCCATCTCCTTCCTTTCTGCCCTTTTTCCTTCCTTTTCCCAGTGTGACAAGTCAGTCCCAGTCTGACTCTTAATAGGGTGGGGGGATGGGGAAGTTCAAAGGTCTTGAGTCCCTTCTGGCTGCTGCCGAACGTAGTACTGTGCATATCGGTGGTACTAGTTTCCTGAGCGAACAGCAACTTTCTTGACAATTTGTAGTTCATAAATACAGTCTAAGACTGAACTGACTCTTTGAGCAATAATATTGCTGCTGGCCTGTATTGAACTCACATCTACATTCTTTCTGTTTTATTTTTAAGTTTGTTATGAATCCTTACCCTTCTGGGCTGGTGGGAGTGAAACTGACATGCAACATCTTACCATTTAAATCCTATTGCAATAATACTTCAGTGGGTCCCACGCAGCCGGCTGCCTACTGATGGATTTCTGTGGGTTGGTACAGAATGTTTACAGTACTTGGAGGAGGGCAGGACCACTTACTGACTGACTGCCTCCTAGGTGGTGGGGGCAGGCAGGTGTCTGCTCCACCTCTGTGTGGGTTCATTCACTAGTTCTACTGTCTTTCGGGCCTTTGGCGAGCCCTGCTGTGGAAACTGAGGATCAGAAAAGCTGTGTTTGTCCCGAGGACTGCTCCAGTGTGCAGTGAGTCTAGTCAGCCATGGAGGGTTTTTTTTTTTTTTCCCCTAGACCATAAAGCATGGATTGTCTCCTGTTGCTTGGGACCTGGAAATCCATCCTTTTCAAACTGATGTTTCAGGTGGCTTCAACAGTTCTACAGGGTAAACATCTGTAGGCATTACTTCGGGAACACGACTGATTGATTGATTGGTTGGTTGGTTGGTTGTGATGTTTTTTCTTCTGTCACCTTGGTGTGTAACGCACAGGGAGCTTGAGTCTCTAGATGACTTCTTCTGGAATGCTGACATTTAAAGATGTAGTGTCCAATGCATAGGGCCAACGTTGGCTTACCACCAGTATCTCTTAAGGACGCTAGTATTAGAGGTGCAGCTGAGATTCAAATCCTAGCCCCCTGGCCTGGGGGAAGCTTTTTGAGCGTGCTGGGGACTTGGTGATGTAAAGGTCAGCTGACCCTCCCTCTCCTCAGCGATGGAGTTGCTGTTGCAATGACTCTTGGGGTTTTTTTTTGTTTTTTTTTTTTTTTCAGTCTGAGCACTTGGGAGTCTGTTGACTGCTTGAGCTGCTTGAGTTTTTTGTTTTGTTTTGTTTTTCATCTAAGATCTCAAAGTACAATCACATCAAAGGGCTCAGCTGACTTGAGAATAGCAACTGCAAAAAAAAAACCACAAGAAAACCTCAAGCGGCCTCCCAGTCTTTTGCTGTAGGTGATCCCAAGTTTTTAATCTCAGTTTAGGAAGAAGTTTTATAGTTGGACATTCACAACAAGTGTTTCACCTCTGGTGCTCTCCTTGTTTAAAGGAAACGCAGGTTTTTGTTGCTTTGACATTTTACATACGTGGGAAATTAACATGCAATCTGATGGAAACTTCAGTTCCTCATTCAAACGGTTATAAGTAACAAGTGCTTAAGTGAGTTGTGACCAGAAGATTGGGCAATAGACACCGAGGTGGCCATCGTGGTTCAGAGTTTCAACAGCACTGTCTGTTGACTTCAGTAACTCCGCTCCTGAGATTCCGGAAAGTTAGTTACCTTTCGGTGTGTTTTTCTAGTAGTTTTCTTTTCCTTCCGTAATTTTGTGGCAATGCTTACTTCCCTTGTGAGCTTAATTGATAAAAAGTGGGAGGGGAAACAGGTTCTGCTGGATGGCTCTTGCAATCCTCCCAGCTGTGAGCCCTGTGAGCCCTATTAACTGGTCATCGCCATGTCTCAGTACACCCACTGGCCTCCTTTGGGAATCTGAGCCATCCTGGTGGGGACCTGCACTACAGAATGGGGGTGGGTATGCTTTAAATGTGATGGGCTGGCTTTTGCTTAGGCTCATAAAGGTTTTAGTTTAGTACTTGGAGCCAAAGTGAAGAGAGCCATATGGTTCCATCAGCTGAAAGATAATTCTAGAATTGTGTTTTTAAATCAACTAATGGACTATTGGATAAATAGACCTACTTAGTTTAATGGAGTGAGCGGCGGGTGAGGGGGTTGCTGTAGCCTGTAGTAAGGAACGTTGGGTGGACATTTAGAATGTGCACAGATTGCAGCCATACTTGGCTTGACTTAACAGGAGGAGTTCTTTCAGCTCTTCAGAGCCTCTGCAGGCAATGTGTACGCTCAGGTCTGTCACTGACCTGGAAACCCTGTGGCTCTGATTTTGTTTCCCTCACTGGTAACATTTTATCTTCTCTCTGTCTATGGTTCTTGCCTGCAGTGTGCTTTGATACCGCTGAAGCCCAGGGACTTTGAAGCAGTCCGTGGGAGAGTATTTAGTAGGGGACTCCCAGCATGCTCAGTTTGGTTTCCAAAGATGTGATTAGCTTCTCCAGTTTAATAAAGCCACAACTGGATGGCTGCAACTCAGGGTTTGAAAGTTTTATGTTTATCTCTTGAGGATTACAGTAGGAAAGACCATAACAGCAAAATGAAGAGTTCCCTTGTGCTCATCTTTGTTTATAAGTATGAACTAGAGGACTGGAGGAAGCCACACAGAGCAGTTTCTTTATTCCGAGGAAAAGGCCTCAAACCATATTCCACACTGAAAGATAACTCATTTTGGGGAGAATCTTAGGAAAGGGACCTCTGAAGCCACAGCCTGCTAGGCTGTGCTGTTCAATGGAACTTTCAATAATGACAGCATGTCTGTTGGGTGAGACCTCATTCGTCCCCTGAGAAGCAGGACCAGATAAATAGACAGTCCGATTTCTGTATTCTTCACTTGATGGTGCAGACTCTATTTCTTTGCTCTCTAAATGGTCCAGATGGCCCTGCCTTTTCAACAAAAAAAATAGCCCCAGGACCTGAGGCCTGATGGCCAGAAGCTGGCCTGCCAGCCCTAGTGGGTAGAATTTCACCATTGTGCTGTCTTTCAACACCCTGAGGAGGGTAAGTCTTGTGTCCCTCGGACATTAATTAAAGATAGCCAGAGTCCCAGCAGGGCAGACAAGGTGAGGCCTTGCTGCCCGGCTTCCATTCAGTGCCCTGTTCTCCTGTACTAAAAATAGCCGAAGAAGGTGGTGCCCGGAATAAAGAGGAAGGGCTAAGGAGGAGGGCTGTTTGCAAGTTCATCCTTTTGAACCCCCTGGGCCAGACATGGAGGCCAGTCGATTTTTTTGTCTGAACTCAGCTGGAGCATTTCTCCCCTCCCCCCTCCACCTCAGCTGTTGACTTCATTTCTAGATGTAACGTTCGTCCCAGTTTGCACTTTTCTTAGTGGCTCTAAGGTAACCTCTGGGATTTCTGAAGGCGAGGAGTCAGTTGCTTGGTTAAAGCTTAAATGTGGCTGGTCCGTGACTGGTCCATGACTGTCCTGCTCAGATGGCTAGGTGGATGCTTCTCTCTTCTCCCTGCTGGTGGTTTCTAGACTCTGAGCTCTGCAGTCCTGTCTGCCCCACTGGGGAGCCCAGATTGTCCTGCCAATCGCAGCGGAACCGAGGGGACTTTCCTTCCCAGTTCCACCAGGAACTCTTCGCACCCCTGGGCTTCATTGGACTTCCCTTCTTGTTGGGAAATGACACCCTGTCAGATCACCTTATGATTTCCAAGCAGGAGAAATTCTGTGATTCACTAGGAAACAGGAAACTTCCCTTAAACATAGGTTCCTTTTTGGCAGCTCTATAAAAACCTGCTGTATTTCTAATATTTTTAAACCAGACTTTAATATTGAGTTTAATGTTGAATTGCATCATCTCTGAAGCCCATGATACATGATCATCACCAATAAAGTGGTCAGATGACTGAGATT